TTTTCAAAATCCCCTTTTTTAGGAAATTGTTCAGTTTTTTATACTAGATTCAAAACTGCACTCGATGTTCCAAAATTAATACATATAAGGTTATGGAAACTTAACATTTGTGTCTGCGATAATTGTGCTTCGAGTTTTTATGTTCCACAGCGAGCAACGTCAAATTTAAACAGTGCTTAAATTGCTAATAGGAAAAAATCTATCCAACGATTGTCACCACAATGATTTCTACCGATATTAAACTACACTGTATAAATTTGACGTGCAACCTCGCGTGCAACGGGCTATTAATTTTATAAAGGATTACAAGTGAATTACTTGCAACCAAATCGCTTTACGAATGCGGTAATTTCTCATTAAATCAGACGTACTTGAAATCCACTAACAATGACTCTAATTTGACGGATATTTCCATTGAAAACTAATTAGGTAGTGCAAAACTTAGAGCTTTTGAAGCTTTACAGAAAAACCAGTTATTTCTTTTTCTAATTTTGTCTTCGTTTACAGATTTACAATGTAATGATATATTTTGTAGCTATAGCTTTTGCTTTTTGCTCTTTCGCCGAATTTATTTAGAAGAAACTATCGCAATTGTCTTAGCTAAAATGGAAAATACACAATTACAATTTCCAAAAATATTAAAAACGAAGAGCCCGTACTATTCTCCAGAAAGTACAAAAGACCCCACTGAATAAGTTAATTTCCGAGAAATTAGAAAAACTTGATGAGGAGAGAAGTATTTTTTGAAATGGTAGCGGGTATCTTTGACCACTAATCCTACTAAACAATATGTTAAACGAAGGGTAAATGATTTAATATAGTGGCGTACACTTCAATCCAGTCCAACATTAGAGCAAAAACAAAAGTAAAAAGAAACCCACATTTTGAAACTTTTGGAGATCTACCCCTTCAAGTACCAAAGAATCACCACCAAAGATTTGATATGAGTGATAAATAAACGTCATATATTGCTATTGGGGGATTAATAGCAAAATCAATGACAAGTTTCAAAGTGATTGTCGATATTAATAACTTGAGTTGTGATTCTCCGTGCTAGACAAACCTACAAAGTTCTGGAAAAACTCAAGGAAAGAATTGTTATAAAGCTTTATAAAAGGCCTGATCTGTTTTTTAAATACTAAATGCGTACCCGAATATATTTGGCAAAGGGCGTCCATTATTTATTTTAGAAACCCGGAAATCGACTAAAATTCTGTGACAAGTGCATACAAGTGTTATTATTATATATTGTTAAGTTGTTCTATAATTGGCTTTTGCTGTTGGGCAATAAATTTATTATTATTATTATTATACGTGCATAAGTACTCTATGCAGGGTGCTCTCAAGAATCTGTGTACTTCAACTTTACAAGCATAACACCCTGGAAATATCTACAAAGCCCCTAAGAGGTCTTCTGGCGTGGAACTGAAAAAGTCTAGAAAGGACTTTCTGATTGTAGGTGGTTGCCATTTTTGTTCTGTGTGGGACTTGCAGAAGAGTAGAATTGTCGAGAGAATTGTATAACTTATGCACACACATTGTGGATGAGGAAGGTTCTGTTTTGATTGTTCATGTTAAGGATGCCAAAACACATCGGCCAAGAACGTTTACTAATTTGAATGAATCTGGAGGAATTGATTATACCGAATTAATCAAAAAGTGTAGAAATTTGCAGCCAAAGCACTGCAAAATTCAAAAGGTTCCTAGTAATATTGCAAAGTACTTGGAGTGTATGGGATATCGGGTTGTGTTTCGTTTTTAATTTCCTTTAAAATATGGCGAAACTCGACCCCCTACAAAAAACCCTCGGCGGCGCATGAAAGTTTTATACAATCTAATAATGTAGTTTTGTGACCCTTTGTCTACCCCAAAATTTGTATTAACAGATATGTGTACTTATCACAAATTGTATTTCATTTTACCAACTGCAAACTTGACACAAATTTATCAATTATTCTTTATCAGTCTTATCATCATCATAAACACAGAATAATAATTAAATAGAAACCGTTATAAAGTAATATCGTATTTTCAGTACCTACTGTTTTTGTGCATTTACGTTTTTCGTGTTTTTGTGCTCTAAAGATTGATGAATTACTATATCGTCTTTTTTTAACGTTTTATCTGTCAAGTCATGATGGACAAAGTGTCATTGACAGGGTTAAGAGCCATATAAGATCTAAAGCAAAAACTTATTGTGCTAAATTTACTAGCAAATGCATAAAATAGCGTTTTTAGTGGTTAGATACATTTTTCAAAATGGTGGGTGAGGAGCTCCGGACTCCCTTCGACGTGGGGTGTACTACACAGACCCCGCATTACCGACTATCATAGATATATCACTGTACTGAGGTTTGCCCTCTCAAAGATGTTATTCTGGGTCCGCCACTGGCCAGGTAGTTTCTTTTGTTTTACCTTTCAAATACTGACAAACCACGTTCGGTCCTTAGGAGTTTAAGGGGCCTATATTTACGTTAGCGTTTTGCTTTTTTTCTGAAAATCATAATAGATGGCAATAAGATCAACGTAAAAAATTTCCATATTGGTGCTGATCGTTTTTCTACTCTCATTTAGGATAAATGATTTTCCTATTCGTGGATCTATAACTATAAAACTAAGACCGATATTCCAACTTTTATAAGTACCGACGTTCACCTCATCATTGCAAAGAATTTCCGCTATCGAGAATTTGTTATTTGTTAGACTTCCAACTACAATAGCAGCATTTCGTAGCAACGTTTAGCTGTTTTTCCCAATATGCCGATTGCATAGCGTTACTCGCGTATTACTCAAACTGTGTACACCAAATTACTCTCCTCGACGTACGCATATCTTGATTGATTCTGTTGTAGTTTTGTATTTCTCAAGATAAATTACGTCAATTTACTGTTTTTTATCATTTTGTATTGGAGAAAGAAACAAACTACATTACATTAAATTGAATTTGGGCCTGGACATTACCGACCAAGAGAATGAGCTGCCTCGCGGTCACATTCAAATTACATTCTCCAGTGAGCTCGGAGACCACCGTATAAGGTTTCAGGTACATTTTTCACATATTCCCGTACTCTTATTTTCCAGACAACCTCAACACATTTCTTCGCTGTCAACTCTAGTTATTGCTCATTGTGCAACAAATTCGGACAACACTTGCATCATGAGCAACACTGTCAGATAATTTTATCCAGAATCCACGCTTCCCATTTTATATCTCAGCAACCTAATCGACTCTGGAATTCGTCCAATCCATACGTCATATCTATTGCTACTTTCAACCTTTACTTTGTGCCAATTGCGTAGCGTAGCATTTTTACCTCAACTGTTGGTCTCTAGATCATGGTACCCAACACATGACTTTCGTGCTCGAGGCGTACCCTCCATCAAGTCTGGGTGGTTTTTGCCTGTTTAAAATACACTATTACATCACTATATGGCACGTTAATGTAGTAGATCTCATTTAGCAGTAGCAATCGGCTTTAGTCCATGTAAACTCAAGCTTTATCCGTTTCACCATCTGGAAGAGATCAGTCCTTTATGTACAATACACTGGAACTGGTAATATCTGCTTCAGGTTCATTTTTTAAAGTTATCATGTAGTGTTACAAATCGGCAGGTACGTTTCCAAAGCCCTGGGAAGGATTAGTATAGTATCTTCTTTTAGCATAAATCTGAAATTGTAGTGTTAAACATGCAATAAACATCTCTACCTATATCTAGTTATGTGTTTGTTAACCACGTATTTCCTCTAAGGTTTTAAAGGTGGTTTCCGACAGCGAGGCGATTTCCCTATCCCGGATCGAGTTCGGACAGGAATGCTTTCCAGTCGATTCTTCGTCCTCTTTTGATAGCGACAGTTAAACCGAGTATTTTTCTGTATTATCTACGATGAAACCCATTCCCCGTGAGTTAATAGTGGATTTAGGGCCGGTTCTATAATTACAGCTATTCACAGAATAAGATATTCTTCGAATAAGTGCCATAGCAACAACTATTCCATTGGTTGACCCAATGGTAACCAACGCAACTGACAAAGTTTATTCTAGGTATAGCTTATTCTCGATATATACCTGCATTGTAGAATCGGCCCTTAGACACAAACTAATAATTTTTCAAGTCTTATATTTTGCATTTTTATCACTTATACGACATTCTAATGTCCGTAGCGTATTGCGGATATTTATATATCTTAAGAAGCACACCGAAATGACGTTCTAACACGAACCAGGAAACCCGAATTTACCCACTTTATTCGATTTGGGCCTATATAATTATGTTCGCGGCTTCGATATAAAAGAGTATGGTAAGTATGCATACTAGGTCATGTTATTCTCTAATATAATAAGATATAATTTGAGCTAGTTTTCTCTAACGAACATCAGTGGTATTAATTGCAATTATAAATAATAGCGTGACTTGCGATTTGATCATAAAATGGTTAATAACAGACAAAACTTTTCAAGAGGAGAAAACCAGACGCGATTTTACTTTTCAGCGTTGTTAAAATCTTATTAAGTTATGGAAATTGTGTACAATAAAGTGTCTCTTAATTAATAAATTATAGTCGTATGCTTAGGTACCTATATGTATATAGCATGCAATTGTCGTTAATGCTCCTTTTAGTTCTGTGTCTTATTGACACCTCGTTGTCATATACATTTTCGAAAGTTTTATGAAAAGTGTAAAATTGGCCTTTTAGAGGATAATGAAAGGAAAAAGAAAAGATTAACTAACTTTTTATATAAGCTTCTTATGAACTAAAACTGTTGGTATGATTCTTTCATATATCGCTCTTCAATATTGGAAAAACTTTGTTTATTACCAAGGCATTGAAATTTAATTACAATTTAGTAACAATTGGTTCCAAGCTGTTGGTAAACAATTTGAATATTTAAAATGTAAAAAAGTTTCCAAGACTACTAATTTATAATTTATCGTTTAAGTGATACAAATTGAAATGTGTTCAAATTGTAAATAGGATAATTAGTACAAAATAACTTTACCTCGTGATGTTTTGGATGCACATGATTACATAGTCTTTGGGAACTAGTTTTTCGAACTGTATTTAGCGAAAAAAATGCAAAAAATAAATAAAACACACACTTCCATGCGGTAACAACTGCCATAGTATGATACAAAATTGAAAAAACTACATTATTAAAGTTTTATTCATGGAATAAACAAACGTGAAAGGTAGCTTTTTGCGAACAATGATACACTGGAAGGTAAACGTGATCAACTAATGAACAGTGATACAAGTTTTGCAGATCTGCGCCTGTGATGGCGCAACCAAACAGCTGATTTACTACAGAAAGGGGATCTATTCATTGTAACGTGCAACCGTTATGTTATGTCCACGTTTCAACTTTACAAGCAAACCTTCATCAAACTGTGTATCACTCTCTTACCTGTCGCTAAATTTTTGCGCTATCGAGTAATATAACAGGTGACGCTGTTACGCCATTTGTAAATAAAGACATGTGATAACATAATTTATAAAGGTTATGAAAACATACAAATGCGCATGAAGGGTGCGCACGTTGAACGTGAACGTCGGTCGAAAACGATTAGTTTGAAAAAAAATTTAACCTTTACAATCAAAGCCCCTAAATGCGTCGATTATGATCTCAGACTTAATTGTTTACCCAGCAGCCAGCGATACCTAAGTATCAGACATAGTCTCCATATGTAGGCCACCCACAATCTTCAATTTGTAGTACGTTCACAATCTAAATTTATCTACTTTGGAAAGAATAGCGAAATATAAAAGTACTAGGTTTAGGCCAATTTGCTAGTAAGTATCAAGTCCAGTAACTCCAAAGAGAAGGGATACTGATTCTGGTTCTCCAACAGTTTAGCAAAATTGTTTATTGTACCAAAGCACACTTCCAATTTTTTTCTATCCATACCTAGCACGAAAAAAGCGGTATCTTACTATAACGATAGTGCAATTGTTAATGAACAATTCAGTTTTGTATTACTATGGAACACCAGAGCTGATAAATATTCGAACGCGTGTATTATGATTACGCCGCGTGTGCACGTAATTAGTAATAGATTACGTGTACCATATACTGTAATCGAGACTGTAATTAAATTACTTTATTGGAAATTAACCCAGTATAGTAGCAATAATCATTTTTTGTATCAATCTATGTAAAAACAATTCATGGTTTGACTCGCCATAGGTTTCATAAAATAAAAAATGGCATCCTCTTGCATATCACAAAATTGGTCGCCCAGAAAGCGCAAACCCAGAATTTTTCCACCAATCAGTGCCTACATATTATATACTACATTAAATAAGATTCTTTATTCAATTAATGGCATATACTGAATTAGCTCCAGTAGGATGAATGTGTGTGTATGCGTCTCACCTCCGCAGCATTATGTAGAATGTAGATAATCGAAGAACAAAGGAAGCTCAGTGCAATAACGTTTATCATTTACTCATGTCAGCGGTGCCTTCTGCCATAGATTATTTCATCTATGCTTCTGCCCTGCTCTACAGTAGACAAGTAAATGTCAACTTGAATAAAAAGCACATTATACCAATTCTATGGTGTTGTCCTTATAATAATGGACTGACGTTAACTTAATTTGACTGTATGACTTCTGATAATATACACGACTCGCGAATACCGTCTCATATAAATAATACACAACAATTACTATCGTTCCATCTGTCGATAAGGTAGAAATGGAATGGGTGGATGTGATGTATGGTACTAATTTGATCTAAACTGTAATAAAAGTCGACGTACAATAAACTCCAATTTGTAATGCACTGTTACCAGACTGATATACCATTCTTTATTGATTTGATCTTAATCGAACATCTTTAAAATATTGTAAATCATGAGCGAACATGATTGCCGGAAGTCGTGGTACTAAAAATAACAAAAAAATGCAACATAAATGGCAACTGCAATGAGAGAGAAGCTAAAAATGACAAATTTTTAATCTTAATTTTTTAATTATAAAGTATATAATGCTAAAGATTTGTGCGTTGTAATTGTACACTATATACCTACAGGTACACTTCGTTGCTTGTACATACGCAAATAGAACGGTCTACAGCTACACTGGTAATCGGTGCATAGGTATTTAATTTGTGGTTTCGTTTACAATAAATTAATATGAATGTAGTTGTCTCCAACGGAAGTTTTAGTATTTTCTATTTTCTTCCAGAATTCTGTTGGAAGGTATAGGTAATTCCCAAAGTGCTTTTGTCTGAAACGTGACGAAGTGTGTAGTTTTCGAGAAATTTTTTGAAAAATTCCACATTGGTATAGGTATCGGATCCCAAAACTGAATAACATGGGTGCGTATGTGACTTTCTATGAAACACTGGCAATGAATAAACAATAAATGCAGTTTTTCACGCATTGCATAGAAATTGTATAGTAATATCATTGAATAAAGAATCTGAATCTTTATTCAATGGTAAAATTGAAAATTGCAAAGAAAAGTTCGCTTGAGGCTTTTTAATGTAGCCAAAAGGACAGGTGAGCGGATTCCCTACCTCTCTCGCAGAGTATATCAAAACCATAAGGCGATTAAAAAGAGAATCGTGGAGGAAAAAAATTCCTGACATGACAAGACAACAAAGGACTCTTCCAAAAAGACAAGAAGGGACGGAAGTTATACGGAAACCGGGAAGGATACATTGGGATTTTTTCTTCAAACACACTTTCCGGGATAACTAAAAAGTGACAATTCAAACCTGCCTATTATATTTCATATTAGAAAGAAAGCAGGAACAATTGGAAATTAGCAAATACGATCATAGATTAGACAAAATAAATGGGCGATTAATTTAAATCTCCCAGCTTTGTTGCACGAAAGGGTATAGCAGTATAGCACAGTTGCACACTTTACACTCCTAATGTTTCTCTGCGCTCTAACATGGCGAGAAGTAAAAGTAGGATTCATACCAAAGCCTGGACGCGAGTCATACGAACAAACGAAATCGTTTAGGGCCGATAAACCTAACTTCATTCCTTCTAAACGATGATCGAAAAATAATATGTTAGTCCGAAGACTTCTAAGCATAAACCAATATGTTTACCAAGCGGGGATGTTGCCCCCCTGAAGTTGGCTGCAATCTGCATACATCATTGGCTTGAAATGAACCAATGTATCTGTTTCTGAATTAAATGTACTAAATCTTTTTTCCATTGTATCTCTTTATGCATATTGACTGCGATTGCGTGCGCTTAAGACGCGATATTCTTAAAATTTCTATATTTAATGTGCAGTTACATTTGCAAAGTGCTGATGTGCACGCAATGTTACCCTTCCCACACTTGCTTCCCGTACAGAGTCCAGGGCATCAGCAGCACTTATCGAATTCTCTGCAGGCCTTTGACACCTCCGGGATTGTGATCCACTGCACTGGCTCCCACTTCTTTTCAACCAAATTCTCTTGGGCTTGGAATTACAGGCTGCATCTGATCGCTTGTAATCCAAATACTTAATATATCTATGCTCGATCAGAGCGTCTCAAAAAATATAGATTGTTAACTGTCATCAAAGAATTTCGTTTCTCAACAAGTGTAATATTTAATACAATATAAGCAAGTACATTACCAAACGTACTGAACTTCTGTATATAAAGGGCGTTGAAATGGCTCATAGAAATTGATACATTTCAAAATCTAAATTTCTTTAAAATGGGCAATTCAGGCATCAACCATGACATTACTTAATATTCAACAAGAAAACATATTTGATGCTCTGGTAAATTTCATGATCAACATTCAAATGGACATTTAAAATTAGTGTGTCTTAATTATAAAACCCAGGCAATTAGTGGCGTATTAAGAGCGAATAACGCCCTAAGCCCTACAGAATTTTGCGCCTCAAATTACACAACAGATTTGTTAATAGCAATAATAAACCAACTTTAACGAAAATTAACACAATAAAATACATTTACATAGAAACAAACCTTTTTTCTGTTTAAAAACAAATTGAGAAAAATTCTTATACTCACAATTCAGACATAGTATAAGTACGTAGTTATACAATGTTTCAAGTGTGCGTCACAAGTTTTAAACCACCTAAAAAAGTAGTTTTTTATGACCCTTTATTGATCTCAAAATTTTAAAATTTTTTCTTCACTCGTTTGACACTACGCCACGGGACTTTTGGGTAACCCTGGATTAAGTATGTAGTTGTGTATACTATGGTTCAGAAGAAGAAGTATGAAAATTAGTTTTGCACAGTTAAGTCAATTTTTTCAAATATGACCACAGTGAATCGACCGAGTATTTTGAAACTCGGTGTACCTAATATATATTTTCCAAATAAATTAAATTTTTGAATTTATAGTAACTTACGGTTAAACTGGTGGCCCGTGTGGCGCAGTTCAGTTGAAGCTGGACTGCGGTACTAAGCGTTCCTGGTTCGAATCCGGGTTCGGGCATGTAAACGTATAGGGGGTTGGGTTGGTAGAGCAATCTTAGCCGAAACCTCGCCCACTGAAAAATAAGGACAAAAATAAATAAATACATAAATAAAACTAGAAATGACAGGAAAATACTATTTAGATTATTCAATTCGATTTTTTTATAGTTTTTTTTTGGGGTCCAGGAATCCCATTCGGAACTTCTAGGGTAGAATTTTGTTGGCCAATAAAAAAGCGCCTAATCTTTTTCGCTTGCAACAATATAAATGTATCAAAATGTCACACACGACAATAGTGGGCGTATTTCCACGATTTGAGAGAACGTCCTCGAAACTTCCAAAGGGGAGACAATGTAAACAATGGCGCTGCGTATATCATTTTATTTTCTTTTGTAATAAGGGGATTTTTATTCAATAATTATTCTATAAATGTACAGTAATGTCTGCTACCTCGTCCCTAATTCATTGTACCAAGGTACCATTCTATGGTACCTGGGAAGATGAGATTGAATTCTAAGGTATGTTTTAGGGAACCGGATTTACCGAAAGGTGCTTACTACAGTCTGTTGGCAAAGAATCCTTTGCAGGGCCGAATTACCCATTAGGCACACTAGGCAGGTGCCTAGGTTCCGGAAAGGATGGGGGCCCGGAAAAATTAAGGACACGTAACGTAACGTGTGAAATTGTAAAGTACACAACACAACAATTTTACACTATATAGGTAGGGGTAGATACAGGTGCTTTATTTCTTTACATTAAAAATTTGCACTATATTTATATACTATATTAAATAATGACTAGAGTGCGGATAAAAAGGCATTTATTTTTATAAAATAAG